CTCTACTTGCTGGAGTGCCCAATCCCACTCCTGGGGAGAGATATCCTATCTTAGTTAAGGACCATCATCACCTTCTCTCCAGGACACTCTGTTTCTCTGTCCCTTACAGCTCCACAACAGCATTTCTTGCTTGCCATCACAGTTCCCTTAGAAAAAGAATGGTGATTGAGGGATACACACACAGATGAAATTAACCCAGAAATTCTCAAGACTCTCTTTCCTGAGTTTGGGCCACCAACCACCCACCTTTGATTGTAAAATTCCATCTTAGGGCAACCCCCATATGAATTAAACAGTACCCCATGCCATGAGAGGCTCAACTAGAAGCTTAATCACACATCCAGAGGCTTCAGAACTGCAGAATACTCACACACTGTCAATCACCCTGGAATGCACTTCCTTTGCATGGAAAGAAACATAATGGGGAATATTGCCCAATTCAGGATCTCCAAGCCATCATCACTGGTGTGATTCCCCTCCACCCTGCAGTCCCAAACTCTTATACTCCCTTCAGTCTTCTTCCACCAATAACCTTCTGGTGTACCTGCCTAGACCTAAATGATGCCTTCTTCTACCTTTGATTGGCTGCTGTCAGTCAGGCACTGTTTACCTTTCAATGGGAAGAGCCCACTTCTGGGCTCAAAAGTCAAATGACCTGAACAAACCTCCCCAAGGACTCAAAAACTCCCCTTCTTTGGAGAAGCCCTTACAGCTGACCTTGCTAGTTTCCCCAGCACAAAATATCACTGCACCCTCTTCCAATACATTGATCTCCTTCTGGCTAGTGACTCCCAAGCAGCCTGCTGGGAAGGCACAAAAGCTGTGCTGCAACATCTGACAGAAACTAGTTAAAAGTTATAGTGAAAAGAAGCAAAAATCTGAAAGAAAAGAGATATCTGGGATTTGACGTAATTCAGGGACACCATGCCCTTGGGCCAAAAAGAAAAGAGGTCATCTGCTCCATCCTGGTCTCAAGTGCAAGAAAGAACTCCTCAAATTCCTTGGAGCTGCTTTCTTCTATAGAATCTGGATCCCTGAGTTCACACACACACAAAACAAGTCCCCAATACAATGCCTTGAGTAGAACTGAGAACAAGAATAAGCCTTCAATGGCATTAAAAACGCCTTCTGTACAGCCTCAACCCTGGGATTTCCACATGTAACTCATCCATTTAACTTGTTTGTTGGTAAAGGATTACATGCAACTTCAAAGATGTTTCCTCAAACTGTTGGCCCCTGGGAGTGCCCAGTGACTTACCTGTCCAAATATTTTGATCCTGTCACTAAGGATTGTTCTCTTTGCTTCCACACACTTATCAGTCACTGTCCTTCTGATCAAGAAAGCTGACATGTTCACCTTAGATGAAGACCTAGTTGTCCAAGTGCCACATGCTGTATTGGACCTCCTGAATAACCACTGACATTGCTAGCTCTCCAACAGCCACATCACACAGTACCAAAAACTCTTATGCAAAAATCCTCACCTGACCCTTGAAGTGATAAAACCACTCCATCCTGCCATGTACCTGCCCACCATGCTGGGGCTTCCATACCATGACTGCCAGGCACTAATCCGTTCTTGAGCCAACCAGACTTAAAGATGGACCCCTTAACACTTGCTGAGTACACTTTGTTTACAGATGGAAGTAGATCTGTTAGGAATGAAGTCTGACAGGCTGGATATGTTGTGGTCACCTTGGACGAAGTTATTTTCGCCAAAGCTCCCCTCAAGGATGGCCTGCACAGCAAGCTGAACTATAGGGCCTCAAACAGGCCCTCAATCAGTGTGAAAATAAAAAGGTCAACATCTACACAGACTCTAGATATGACTTTGCCACAGTTGATGTTTACCAAATGAAATATACATATATATATAACAACAAAAGAAAAGTAACTAAAAACAGACAAAATTCTGCTGCTTCTTGCTACTGTCCAGAAACCCACCAAAGTAGCAATCATCCACTGTCAGGACATCAAAAGCCTCATCTCCTTAGAAAACAATAAAGCAGATACAATTACAAAAGCAACTGCTAAAGGAGCATCCCAGGACAAAAACATGATACAAG